TCTGGGGCTGACCCTTGGATCTGCCACATCACTTTGGGGCACGCTGCCCTAGAGCCATTTCCCTTTCATGGATATCTGAATTTACCCGTGGGGAGCTCTAGCCGCCAACGTAGCACTGTCAGGAAGTTATAGATTACAATTCTCTTTTGGGTTCTCCTCATGCTTTTTGTCTTGAGAGACAGGATGACCCCAGGAATGGGACTGGGAGGAAGAAATGGTCAGACCTTAAGTCTATGTCTGTCGCTTAAACTGTGTGACCTAGGACAACCAACTTCAGAAACTTTCAGTTTCCTCATTCATGAGGGGGATCATACCTGTGCACCATTTGTCAAGCTTGGTTTGAGCCTTAAGTGAAGGAAGGGACATAAAAGCATTTAATGCAATAAAATGATAGACAAGACAGACTATCCACGCAGATAAGATACACTTATTGTTAAAGAGAAGGGAGGGGCGCCTGGGTGGCTCAGTTGGTTAAGCATCCAACTCTTGATTTCACCTCAGGTCATGATCTCATGGTTTTGTGAGTTCGAGCCCCACATTGGGCTCTGTGCTGACAGTGTGCAGCCTGCCTGGGATTCTCTCCTCTCTCTCTACCCCTCCCCACTCATGCTATGTCTCTCTCTCTGTCTCAAGATAAATAAATATTTAAAAAAATTTTTTAAAAAGGGGAAACTGTTGCCAAGATGGTGCTCACTTTTGACATATGTAGATTATTCATGTAGATTATTCATATATTGGTTTATGATAATTTAAGAAGAGATAAACATTTGATATCTGCCAACAGTTCCTGTTCTTCCTTGATGTCCTCTACCTACACTTGAGATAAATAATTACTTCATGACTTAAATTTTGTAAATAATGTTATAGGGACCCTGGTCTTGGGAACAGATGCAGCCAAGAAGCTGAGTCTGTCATGTTTAATGTCAAGATCTTGAGACTTGTTTGTTTTGGTAGTTTAAGCTATCCTGAGGGGTTGCGGTTTTCTTTTTTTCCTTCTTTGCTTTAAAGCAGGCATATTTATATATTAAATGCTATATATTAAATATGTTTATATGTTCTGATTGGTTTTTTGTCAATATCTTTTGCTCAAAGCAAAATGGTCATTCCATTTATAGCATTACAATTGGGGAATTTGTTTATTCATGGAAGCTTTTTTTCTACAAGTATGCAGAGGAACTATAAATGTTTATCACAAGGATATCCTGGCTGGCTCAGTCTACTTTGCAACTTGAATATGCTTTGAATTGCCCATGAAATACAGAGTTTTTCTCAGCTGGTGTATGCAATGGCTCTTCAAGAGTAGTTTAATTTTACGTTTTAAAGGAAAACATGTTCCCTTACACTTCTGGGTTTCCAGCTAAAACACATATTAGTGAATGAAAAACAACAAAATCTTGCTTATTGATATCTCCATGCTTTGCAAAATAATATATAAATTTCCCAAAGAATGCATTTTGGGGGAACAGATAAGCAAATTGAATTGTAAATCTGAGTTTCTTCTCTAGATCTTCCTATACTGTTTTATCTTACATGTAAATAGGCTTTTAAAAAGTTGCTGATACTGGTAAGTGGCATCCATGTTGGGTGCTTGCATAAATGATGTTATTTTAGGTGGAGCCTTAAATAATTGAGCAGTTAAGCAGATTGGTGACTTTATTGGCCCATGGTAAAATACCTTCCAGGATAGTCTCAAGCCTAACATTAGTAGTTTCTAAAACTGTTTCAGTTCAAGTTTAACTGGTGGATTCTAGAACTCCCAGAGTTGCCAAATACCCCTGATGTCTGACACCGTCAGCATGTACAACAAAAAAGGGTTAATTACAGTGTATATTTAAGGGAGTCACAGGATATGTAAATATAGTAAAACCTTGGTTTGTGAGCATAATTTGTTCCTGAAACATGCTTGTAATCCAAAGCACTTGCATATCAAAGAGAATTTCAAGAACCATTGGCTCTGTTGTGATCATGTGACATTTGCCATCACGTACTACTCGTATTGCAAGACATGCCTCGTTTATCAAGTTAAAATTTATCAGAAATGTTTGCTTGTCTTGAACAACACTGACAGAACAGGTTGTTCTGCCATCTAAGGTTTTACTGCAATTCCATTGTGTTCTTTGGAGTCTTGATTTGTCCTACATCCATGTTTGGGTAATAGCTGCATGGGTGAAAGAAAAAAGCATTTTGCTGAGGTCCCATCAATCAAAGGGATGAGACAAGCCAAGTCCACATCAGTTTCCTGTCGGCACTGATAGGCCTGTATCTTGTCTTCATGAAGCATTGCTCATGGCCTTCGGTGAATGTTTAATATGATTACCTCTCACCTTTACGACGAGTTGCCTTTTAGCACCCAGCTGGACCCCAGTTTGACCTTTCTCAATTCTCCCAGTACAGGGGGAAGAAGGAAGGCTGATATTGTTGAACAAGTATACGGGCCAAGTAGAGACTTTTACTGATAATCCCAAACCTTAGCACTCTCCATCACTTGGATTTTACCCAGTATTCCTCAAGAAACATAGAGCCATACCCCGCTCCTTTTTTTAACCTACTAATGATCCTGCAATTTATTTCTTTTTACCAAGGAGAATTTAAGATGATTTTTAAAATAACCCACAGTTACATCAAGAGAGCATACATTTCAGGTGGGTGAGGAAGACCGAACAAAGCAGAAAGAGAGGTGCAGGCCTGAGGGGATGGGAGCAGCAGATCTCTATGCGCTTTATAAACTGCTTTACTCCCTTTGCCATGTGAGGATGTGGGACTTTGTACAAAAGCCACATGCAACTGCATCTTTCTGTCAGGCCAGTAAGAAGACAGTGTAGGTTGGGGCACCTGGGTGGCTCAGTCGGTTGAGCGTCCGACTTCGGCTCAGGTTATGATCTCACGGTTCCGGGGTTCGAGCCCCGCGTCGGGCTCTGTGCTGACAGCTCGGAGCCTGGAGCCTGTTTCGGATTCTGTGTCTCCTTCTCTCTCTGCCCCTCCCCCACGTGCGCTCTGTCTCCCTCTGTCTCAAAAATAAATAAACACTAAGAGCAATTAAAAACAAAGAAGACGACGTAGGCTGCATCAGGATAGGCCAGGTCTCATATTGGCTTTCTCAAAATCCATGCATATTACTACTTAGAAAAAGAGCACAGCTGACAGTTTTAGAAAATGAACCACCATTAAATACACAACCACATTCACATATTTTGTGTCCTAGGTTGTGCCGGGCACGCTTCATTTTGGGTAATCTACCTAATAGCTCAAAGAGGTAGTTTCTGTGCTCTCACCTGTAAACAGATGAGGATCCTCAGGTTGGAAGTGGTAAACTGATTTACCTAAGGTCCCCCAAGACAGGAATTATGTGGAATTTGGCGGTAATTCATGTGTTCTGATTGCCAACCAGTTTGACTCTTCATGGCAATCATGTGGGCTAGGAAGTATGTGTAAAGTGTGTTATTTAACTCCTCTATTTGCTTTCTCCTTACATAGGCATTTCTCACTAACTTATAATAATGGCATGTGGGGGTGGCGGCTGCCTGAATAGAAGTGAGAAGCAGCAGCTGACACCAAGGGAGGAGAAACCAGCGATTTCCTCTGGATAAGGACGGCGTAGCAACAGTCCCACACCCTCATTAGCTCCAGAGGAGCCCAGCATAATTATGACATTTGTTAAGATGACCCCACATTATCGAGGAAAGCTTAAATTGTATTTATCATATTCTGTTTATGAAGGCAAAGGAGTGCTTTATTTTAAGAGTTCCATTTGGACTTACTTTACTGTTCAAAGGGAGACAGCATGATCTTATCTGGAAATGCATCTACCCAGACTCCCCATGTCTGCACTGCATTGCCCCGATGAAGGTTGATGGATGTGAACAAGAGGTACATGCAATTGTCGAAATGAACCAGAAACTTGACAGGCAAAAAGCTAGCATATTTGTTTAAAGTCCCAAGCATTGAAATCTACTGTAAGCACCATATAATATATTAAATTTGTCTTTTGCATTTAATTGCATGTGGAAACGAGAACTTATTTCTATGAAGTAAAAGTGAAAACAAAATGTGTTCAGGTTTCTTAAAAATCTATATTCTATGAAGGGTTTTTAAATTGTATATTCTAGCAAAGATTTTGTCCAGGTTTTTGTCAATCTACAAATGTACAATGGACCACACTGTTGATATAGTGCAAAAATAAGCAAGAAATTAGCTGAAATGTACCTCTGCTAGGATACTGAAAAATCAAATGGATGCATCTAAAAGTATATAAAAGTTGAAGATGTGGAAAATATTCTTAGTAGCCTTTTTTCCCCAGTTTTTAAAAATTGCAAAAAGGACGTGTAAAAATTACAATGCATGGCATTTAAAAATCATTCTGAGAGGCGCCTGGGTGGCTCAGTTGGTTAAGCGTCCGTCTTTGGCTCAGGTCATGACCTCATGAGCCCTGGATCAGGTTCTGTGCTGACAGCCCGGAGCCTGGAGCCTTCTTCGGAGTCTGTGTCTCCCTCTCTCTTGCCCTCCCCCACTCTCACTCTGTCTCTCTCAAAAATAAATAAAAACGTTAAAAAAATCATTTTGAGCACTGAGGAAATGCAATGTTTGTTTACATCTTAAGGCATATATTCACTTTCTGTTGAGAGAGTGAAAATAGGTATTTTTTACTGTTTCTGAAAACAAGTTTTGGGTCTGAAATACATGTGTAAAATTTTGTTTTGAATGCATGTTTTTCTTATCTAACATGAGAAAGTAGGATGGCAGCTGCTAGCTTTGAAACCATGGTACTGTTGATAGGTTTATGCATCATGTTGTATTGACTAAACAGGCTGAGGAGAAACAGAAAAAAAACACTCTTTTCCTACAAATTTAGTGAATATTTCCAAAAATAGTAGGCCTACATCATTTTCTTTTCTTCCTTGTCTATATGTTTATTCGCTAATGCTTATTTTGAGCTCTTGTGTGACCCCATCTACATAACAAACGATAACGCTTTTTCTTTGGACTTCATTTTTGTGTTTCAGGTGGGCCAGCCATGAGAGGGTACCTTGTGGCCATATTCCTGAGTGCTGTCTTTCTCTATTATGTGCTGCATTGTATATTATGGGGAACAAACGCCTATTGGTAAGTTTCATTTTTGCTCTTTAAAAATAATTCCCGGGGCACCGAGGTGGCTCAGTTGGTTGAATGTCTGACTCTTGATTTTTGGCTCAGGTCATGACCCTGGGGTCATTGGATCAAGCCCCACGTTGGGCTCTGCACTGAGCATCGAGACTGCTTAAGATTCTCTCTCTCTTCCTGTGCTCTTCTCCCCCACTCATGTGCATGCGCGTGCTCTCTCTCAAATAAAAAAATAAAAATAAATAAAAATGATTCCTAAACTAGTCTTTGACACAGTCACACAAATGATGTTAGAAGGACCTATAAAAAAAAAAAAAAAAAAACTTTTAAAATTTTGAGCCTTTTTTAGCTTTCCATGCTAAACTGGGGTTTTACCATTCTAGTGTCTTGTACATTGCAGTTTTAACAGCTTTCAAACTGATAAAACAGCACCTTATTTTTATTGACATCAGTGAAGCAGTGGTGTTGCCCATCTCTGGAACATAATATTCTTTATATAATATTTCATCTCCTTGAATTGATGCAGTAATTCTTGGACTCGGTGGTTCTTGACTATTGAGCCTAAAATGCTTGGATAAGATAGTGATGATTAAAATAGAGACACTGCATATGGTTTTCTTTGTTTAAAAATATTCGGTGCATGATGACACACATTATGAAACCACTTTGACTTGAAATGTCTCATAAAACTTTGAAGAAGCACAGATAGTTTTATGGCAGAGAAAACTTATGAAATAAGCTTTTCATCCTTTTCCCTAATTGTCCTTTGGCTAGGAGTAAAGTTTTGATGACCTTTAAATCCTGAATGGACGGTAGTATATGATATCAAAATAAGTCATATGACAATTTTCTATTTAGACGAAATACTTTGCCAGTTTTTCAGTAGGAAATTCTAGATCATGTTTCTGGTTGTGTCCCCCCACCCCCGTCTAGATAAAAAAAAGTTGATGCTTCTGAATTTACTTCACCACTTGTTGATTGAAAAATTATTGTAATGCTCTTCATGGAAGGAAGTTAGGCAGATGGTCACTAGAAAAATCCAATGCCAGGTGGGGGTGGGGGGTGGCCCAAAGTTTCTAGGGCTTGGACTTAAATACTGAGCTAGAGGACTTAGAAGTCTGATTATACACCACATGAAGGTTATACACGGTGTTCTCTCCTTCCGTCTTTGCCACATCCTGTCTCTGTACCACTCTTAGTAACGGAAGGTAAGAACAGAAGAGAAAGCAAGGAGTTTACTTTGTAAACAAATCCTATTGTGTCACAGGGGAAATGATAAAGAGGACAATGCAAGGAGTGTTGAATTCTGCAGTCTTGTCATCCGGGTTTGAGAGTGTTTATGACCCTCCTAAGCTAACCCGTGATACTAGTCACAGAAAATACCGGGGGAAATTACCTCAGGTGGGTTTTGTGCTGTGAACTTACTTCCTTAAAAATTATTTAAGACAGGTAACTTTTTAATTTTTATTTAATTTATTTTTATTACTTTTTTATTTTTTTTTTTTTTAATTTTTTTTTTCAACATTTATTTATTTTTGGGACAGAGAGAGACAGAGCATGAACGGGGGAGGGGCAGAGAGAGAGGGAGACACAGAATCGGAAACAGGCTCCAGGCTCTGAGCCATCAGCCCAGAGCCTGACGCTGGGCTCGAACTCACGGACCGCGAGATCGTGACCTGGCTGAAGTCGGCCGCTTAACCGACTGCGCCACCCAGGCGCCCCTTTATTACTTTTTTAATGTTTATTTATTTTTGAGACAAAGACAGAGCATGAATGGGGGAGGGTCAGAGAGAGAGGAAGACACAGAATCCGAAGCAGGCTCCAGGCTCTGAGCTGTCAGCACAGAGCCCAACACGGGGCTCGAACCCACAGACCGTGAGATCGTGACCTGAGCTGAAGTCAGAGGCTCAACCGATTAAGCCACCCAGGTGCCCCTAGACAGGTAACTTTTTTAAGCCACCCAAAGGTTGTCTTCAGAATATCCTAAAAGTTTTTCTGTTCGACTAACCTTAGAAACCAAGTAATATCTTTTACTTCATTTTGTCCTCAGAATGTAATTTGGTTTTTATGATCTAATGTGCTGATCCACCATATTTATGTACCTTCCTAACATATAAATCAAGGGATTCTTGCCATGTATGGTAGTCACAAAAGATGTTTCTCTAATAAGGACTTTACTAGTTTCATAGTTTAGAAATCTAGCAGTTCTTGGGCGTCTGGGTGGCTCAGTCATTTGAGTGTCTGACTTCGGCTCCGGTCATGATCTCATGGTTCATGAGTTTGAGCCCCTCATCAGGCTCTCTGGGCTGACAGCTCAGAGCCTGGAGCCTGCTTTGGATTCTGTGTCTCCCTCTCTCGCAGCCCCTCCCCAGCTCAGACTCTGTGTGTGTGTGTGTGTGTGTGTGTGTGTGTGTGTGTGTGTGTCTCTCAAAAACAAAAACATAAACCTAGAAGTCCTAACTATGTGGATTTCTAAAAAATTGAGACTACTTCTTTTAGTTTGTGTCCTGTGATTATAGAAGAACATGGATTAGTTTTTTAGATGAATTCTTCACATAATTGATCATTAATAAAGTCTTCTGTTAGGCCGTTATGAACCTGGCTAGCTCTGGATCCTGCCACTCTGTCCCCCTCATTTATTTTTGTTGTCATGCTCTGTCTTGTTTCACAATACCCTTTTAAACTGTGGAGACAAGCACTCTATTCAGGAGACCCAGAAGGTCCTAACCTGTGCCAAGAATAGAGGAGAGTGAGATAGGACTCTGAATGGTATGATTTGTGGAGTCCGGATCACAAGGCTGCCTCTGTAGAGCTTCAGGTCTGTGTTTCTATGGTAGGTGTGCCCAGTTGTGGCATGGGGGACCTAGAGAGTCATGTGCACTGGAGTGTGTTGGGTTTGGCAGGCTTTGGGGAGACTTCCAAGAAGTCAGCCTGCTTGTGGCTTCCACAGTGTGGTGACCCCTAGCCCTTCTCGAAGGGCCCTTTGTTCACTGCTGGTTGAATCCCTTCTGGGTCGCTTGTCACCTCAGCCTTTTTCACCCTCTCGCCTTGTATCCGTGCATCCTCAAATATGTGAAAGGTCCTGGAGAAAGTACGGTCATCCCTCAAGGGTTTCTGTGAGGATTTTTAATTCCATGCCGGAGAAGTCTTTCAGCGGTTGTCTCCAAGTGGATTCCCAGGGCATTTGCTTTCCTTTGGGCGGGCTTCCTGGTTCTGGTTTCTGAGTGACCCTGTTTTTGTCTCCTAGGGTGCCACCTGTGGAAATGAAGCGGAGAAATAAGATCCAGCCTTGTTTATCGAAGCCAGCTTTTGCCTCTCTCCTGAGGTAAAAAGATAAAAGAAATTGTGACCTACAACATGTTTAAAATGTGTTTGTAATCACTTTTCACGCTTGTTTACTTTTTTTCCGTATGGAAAGTATGAAAGTAGACTTTAGCAGCGTAAAGTAGACACTATATTTAAGGAAGAGCTTGAATATCCCGTCTCTTTTTGTGCTTTTGGTCAGAGCTCTGCATATATTTTCAGAAAAGGCATTGAAGAACTCAATCAGACCAGTTACTCTTTTTACACAGGTGAGATTAGAGAGCTCTGTTTGTATTTGATCATAAAGTGAACTGTTCTCCAGGGCTTTATTTCTCCCCTTGTTGTTCCCATGTTGTTTTTTACCCTTATTATTTTGTAGCTTTTTTCCCCCTTGTCTCTAGGTTAAACTTCATGATGAGAAATTTTTCCTCACCATGACTTTCAGTGAACTACTTGGAATGTAAATGTAAATCTTTATATAGTTGTCAGGACTTGCAGAATATCCACAAATATTTTTTTCCTCTTTCACCTCAACTGTGACAGATTGCTGGTCAAAACTCTTCTAGAGAAATAGAAATAAATGACAGTCTGGTCATGTTTAATTGTGTAAAACAGGTCCAAGCTTTTCAATATGTTCTCCATTAAGGATCAAAAGTTTATATATTTGTAAATTTTCTTTTCATTGCATAGTATACCACACGTTTCCATGACTGGTTCTTAACCTTTTAAAATCAACTCTCTAGGAAACTGGAGATACATAAAATATTTCTGCATATGTTTACAGGTATATCATGGCTACTATAAGCACTTTATAAGATGATAAATCTTTCTAGTTAGGACCACTGCAAAACTAGAAGAGTGGTTTTAAACTTTTTTAACCATGACCCCATAGTAAGAAATCAATTTTACCTTGGAACCCAGTATACACTGGGTATAAATACATTTTACTTTGGAAGCCGGCATACATAAATAAAGCTGGACCCCTGAGAATGCTGACACTCTCAAAACTAAGTCTGGGATACAGATCATATGTCATGCAGGAAGGGCCCACCGTCACCTGTTTCCTTAGTCTGAATGTGGTGTGAGTTCTTAGCCCAGCTCTGAAGACCTTAAGCTCGTGTGACTTGCCCAAGGTGTAATGGCTCCTGAGTGGCTACTATGGATGCAAATGAAGCCAGAATGAAACTGAAGCTATTTCACCCCTATTCTGTGCTTTATTTCCATTTTGTCATACAGCCACTGAAACCCCAGGGCACTCTGATCTGCACCTGCAGTTTTTAGACTAACAAAAGGCAAAGCTGATATGACAGGAAAAATGGGGCCAGGTGTGGGGGATTGGGGTAAGGGTGAGTTTGACTTGTTCCTTCTCTTGCATTAAGAGCACTTTGATTTTCTTTTTTTCTACTTCATACTGGTTCCATAAAGAAGTAATACGGAGTTGAAATTCATTCAATCATTTATTAACCGTAGGGAACCTGCCTACTCTGTGCTGGTTGCTAAAAGTGAGGGGGAAAAAACAGAGGCACATCCTATCCTCATCGAACGGTCTCTCTTGTCTGAGAGAGGACCTGAGTGGGGGCAGTGGGGCATAGCTCAGCACAGAGCAGGCAATAAGAAGAGCATGTCCATAGTTGTTGTTCTTCAGTAAGTCTTAATGCCGGCAAGAATCCTAGGTGCATCTAACTGTTCTTTATTTTCATTTTTATTTTTAAATTTTTTTTTCAACGTTTATTTATTTTTGGGACAGAGAGAGACAGAGCATGAACGGGGGAGGAGCAGAGAGAGAGGGAGACACAGAATCGGAAACAGGCTCCAGGCTCTGAGCCATCAGCCCACAGCCCGACGCGGGGCTCGAACTCACGGACCGCGAGATCGTGACCTGGCTGAAGTCGGACGCTTAACCGACTGCGCCACCCAGGCGCCCCTTTCATTTTTATTTTTACTTTTTTTTTTTCATAGCTGACAAAACTTCACACATATGGTACTTTTTAATTTGGGAGTGGCTTAGCATCCGTGCTTTATTTCCCCTTATTACCTCCTTTGTCTCTTCCTGTATATGGCTAACATTTCCTCACATGGTATTGATTTGTTTTTAAATTTTGATCCCCCTCCCTAGCCTCTAGAGTTGTGACAAAACTTTGGTTCCACAGCCTGGGTAGCGTTTCCATCTTGGTTTTGTAGTTCCATTGCACATTCCATTCTCTATTCTATTTAAATTCCGTTTAAGGTGACTTTTCAATAATTTTACGTTTTAAAGTTTGTTTATTTTGAGAAAGAGCAAGAGAGCAAATGGGGGGGGCAGAGAGAGAGAGTCTCAAGCAGGCTCCGCGCTGTCAGTGCAGAGCCCAACTCGGGGGCTCAATCTCATGGACTGCGAGTTCATGACCTGAGCTGAAATCACGAGTCTGATGCTTAACCAACTGAGCCACCCAGGCCCCCCAAATAATGTTAATATTAAAACGTAATACTATAAATAAGCATTGAAGTGAATAAAAAAATACTTTAAAAATAGTTACACAATCGCATATAGTCCGTATATCAACGTGAGTATTATACTTCAGTTGTCTTCAGTTGTGATTTTAGAAGGCTGCATATATTGTAGGCATTTGGGGGAAATGATTCTTTTCCTTTTCTTGCAGGTTTCATCAGTTTCACCCTTTTCTGTGTGCAGCTGATTTTAAAAAGATTGCTTCCTTGTATGGTGGCGATAAGTTTGATTTGCCCTATGGGATAAGAACATCAGGTCAGTAATATTATTCTTACCCAGCCCTCTTAATAGGAGTGTGTTTTGATGTGAACCACATGTTTATATAATTTTAAGGCCTTTTCATCTTACTGCTTCATGAGGATTCTTAAAGGAAATGATTCGGCAATTTGTTGAAGGAAATTAAATTTTAATTCAGAAATCCCTACTCCTTTTTGAGGCAGTGTGGAATTCTAAAATAAAACGGGAAGTTTGTTGTTTTTTGAGAAACTGCTCTTTACTTTTGTCTAGCTATGGTATTATTCATGAGTTCTGATGCTGTATTTTATTCTAGTATAGAATGAGCAGGATAAACCTGTGGGTTAACTTCCTTCCTGTCTCCCTTTTTGCCTTTTTACCTCTGAGTTTTATTCCATCAATGTAAGTTCTAACTCCTTGATCAGCCTTTTAACCAGTAGGTATTTTGCTAAATTGAGAGAGAAATTACTCTATCTGCTAATGACAAAACCGTTTTCTCTCCACTTATTGACAACTGATTGGCCTTAAGCAGCTTTATGTTGTAGATTTTTGAGAGACCCTAAAAGCCCAGTAGGTGACAAGCTTAGTTTTCTGAGTCAGATTTTATTTATTCAGTGGATCCTGTTAGGTGTGTGTGTGTGTTGTGTGTGTGTGTGTGTGTGTATGTGTGTATATGTGTGTATAGGTTTAAAAAAATATTGCAGAGAATTTGATAATACATTTAAATTTGCTGAATATTGGTTTCTATACTAATATCAGTTTCAAAGGCTATATTCTACACTAATATCATCTGATGTTGGTATTTTTTTAAAAAATGTCTTATTACTTATTTTTGGGAGAGAGAGAGACAGACACAGCATGATCAGGGGAGGGGCAGAGAGAGCGAGGGAGACACTGAATCTGAAGCAGGCTCCAGGCTCTGAGCTGTTAGCACAGAGCCCGATGTGGGGCTCAAACTCACGAACCATGAGATCATGACCTGAGCTGAAGTCAGACACTTAACGGACTGAGCCACCCAGGCACCCCAGATGTTGGTATTTTTGGGGTTACTTTTTCAGAATTGTTGTCAAATAAGGCATTTTTTTTTTACCCCCCTGGAGTTTTCAGGAAGTGTCCTTAGAGCAGTTTTGAGCGTACCTATTGAGTAGTGCCTGCTAACTGCAGTTGTATTGTTAATTTCCACCAAGGAATAAATCCACATGGATTTACAACTTTGAAATGGGTTGGGGGAGGGATGGGGGGGGGAATACCTAGGGTTGCTTACTAGGTATCTAAGAAGCCATAATTCCTTTTATTTATAATATGCCATTTGTCTTCTAGCGGAATATTTTCGGCTTGCTCTTTCAAAACTGCAGAGTTGTGATCTCTTTGATGAATCTGACAAGTGAGTTTATTTCCTCGCTTTTGTTTGACTTTTAGTTTTAGCTAAGGTGGTTCAAAATATGCACCCCAATGTAAAATGTCTTCAGTCAAGAAAATTCCATAGTAGTTGTGCATGACTAAAATGTCTATTAGTTATTTCCATGACACTTCAAATAAACACATTACAAAATTAATTTAGAAACTGCAAAACTGGTTGCCTCAAAAGTTTGCAGAGTCTTATGATGAGCAATCCTAGTCCCAGGTCAAGACATTTTAACCCACGTTCACCTCTCCTAAGTTGTTGTTACTAGAGAATTAATTCGCAGCCCCTGTTAATCAGCTCACAGCCCCTCCATAGGCTGTCTCCTGTACCTTCCTATGTATCTTCTGATTGCTCATGAGGATCTGTTTTGTTTCACTTGAATATCGGATTTCAGAAGCAGCTCTCTTCCTCCTATTCAGAATTATACTGGAGGAAAGAGAACAGTTGGTTGAGATAATGCTTGTTCTGACTACAAAAGGTAACTTAATTTGTAGAAAATTCTGGTGTCAAGTGAACCATTTAGGAATGAAACTGCTAAAGATAGACTCTTTAGCTGATACACTTATTTTTACAAAGGTAGACTTTCTGTACAGATTCTTCATCTACCCTTTAGGATTTGGCCAGTGGTCCATTGGGGGGATGGAATAGGCACTCCATTAAAAAGCAAAATGACAGAATTTTCCCTCTTGCCCAAGAGGACAGAAGTGCTATTTAGCAAATAAATAAATGAGAGTAGTGGACAGAGATGTGAAAATGGGGATAGAATTTACAGAACAGAGCTGGAAGAGCAATGCTAGATTTTGTCTGAAATTCTCTCCTTTTTTCTCTGAGAGCCCACACGATCGAAGTGTGGATTATGTAATGTTGGCTCATTTCAGCTGTACTTACTTCTTACAATTTAAAACTATGCCATCAACTTAATTTGTTTTTGATTGCATACGAACAGCAACCATGTATGTACTTTTCTAGCCTAAATTTTATGTAGCTCATGGGTTGAATTTTGTGCAGATCTTTGGCATATGTGCATTATGTCCTGCTCTCTAGTTTTTACCACTACCCTGCAAAGAATGCTTGATAGTCTTTTTTTTTTTTTTTTTTTAATGGAGAAACTAAAACTAGGCAAACATACATAGTTTGTTACAGTGGGTAAAAGCTACAGCCAGGACGTGAACCTAGAGAGCTCCATCCAGTGCCCGGATGTGTGACTTAAGAGTAATAGTGACTGTACCTTAAATATTTGGAGCAAGTGTCTACAAGATCCTAGTCACTGTAAATGTGAGCTACTGCCAGGATTCTTGGGTGTGTATGACTAGAAGTTTCACTCTTTCCTGGTCTTGATCTTAGAACTAGACTGTATCATCTGTAGGTGCTTTCAGAAGCCCTTCCCACACAGGAATTCATCATCTGCGTGTGCCTCAGCCAGGCTTGTCTCTCTCTTCTTGCTGACGTGGTCTTGCTGTTTCCTTTCCTCCTTTGTCACTGAGCATGGACCCCACTCCCAACATCAACCCATGTCAGGCTCTTAGCATCACCCGTGTTGGAAGAGAGGTGGGTGTGGGTGGTGAGGAGGGCTGGAAGATCTTGCTGATGGCACAGGAATCCTTTAGTCTGAGTTTGTCAAGAGAAGTAGAATAGAATGTGCAGTCAGAGACTTTTCAGGCACAGAGGGAATGGAAAATCCCCTTGTGGGATCTCTTCGGAGTGCACACCAAGAAGCAGTCACATGATCAGCCTTGCTGAATTGCTTGTTTGTGCAAACCTGTTTTCCTAGGGACTTGACAAAGTATTTTGAAAGTAGATGAGAATATACTTGGGACAGTATTTCCTATTTCCTATTAACTTTTGGGATGGGTTCACATGTAATAAACTATACCTGTATTTTAAGCAAGTCATTATACATTTATCTGAATGGCACTGTATAACACAAAGACAATCGCTGGCCAGTCTTTGCCTGAGCAGTGGATTTTATTTTATTTATTTATTTTAAAAATATTTACTTATTTTGAGAGCGACCACACATGTATGCATGCACACAGGGGAGGGGTAGAGAGAGGAGAGGGGGAGAATCCCAAGCAGTCTCCGTGCAGTCAGTGCAGAGCCTGACATGGGACTCGAACTCATGAACCGTGAGATCATGACCTGACCTGAAATCAAGAGTTGGATGCTCAACCAGCTGAGCCACCCAGGCACCCCTGAGCAGTGTATTTTAAAGGCAGAATATACTCCAGAAAGGCAGAATGTACTAACCTGCCTTCTTGTTGCCTCAGAGTAAACTGTTCCCTAAGTGACCTTAAACATCTCCCATTTCTCCTCTCAGCCTGGGGGAAAATGCTCTAGGACAAACAGGTCTGAGAACAGTCTCTTTCTCAGGCAGAGAGAATGAACTGCCCCCAGCTGTGGATTCAGGAGCGGGGTTGGGGGTGAGGGGGGCGCCCCATGGACCAGGAGGAAGCCTTGTTGGCATGAGCTGCTCAGTTGGTCAGTGGGTCTGTAGGGTCGGGATTGGGATGAGCAGAGAGAGGGGAGCTCCACTCTTTCCATCCCCTTCCCCCTTGGGCTGCTCTCCACTGATTTTATTCTTCCTTTATCCTCTTGGTTTCTTCCAGAAGGTTCAGACATTTGGTCATTGTTTCAAATCCGAATCCTTTACAGTCCTACCAGATGTAAGTCCTAGTTTTGTTCAGTTACATTATTCAGTTCACGTGATGCCCTCCATTGGGACAGATTACACTGTGAATGGGAAAGTTCTAAATAACAGATGCATTTACAAGAGAGGAGTCTTCCTCTTTCCCACAGGTGTCACATAAACGAAGTCTGCAGGTTAGCATGTTATTACCCATTTGATTTTATTTATCTTTTTGTTTTTAACAAGAAGTATACTCTGTGGCTTTTCCCTTTATATTGTTTAGTTTCTCTCCTGAGCAATGGCCCGCCAGGTTGGGGTAGGGTAACCACCGAGGCACCCGTATGTTGCCTAAAGAATCGTGATTACCTAAGCTTACCTGTCTGTGCTGTGTTGTGCTGCTTTAGGGCCAGACTCAAAAGCAAAGTGGTGAATTGTAGAGAATCCTCAGAGGCAGGAAGGGTGGAGATCTAGTCCAACCCCCTCATTTGAAAGGTGAGAGAGTTGAGGTCCAGAGAGGTTATGTGGAGGTCTGCAAATTTCTGTTTTCAGTACCTCCTTTCACGTTTTAACAGAGTAAAAGACAGGAAAGACCGCACAACCGAATGTCTTAAACTGAGCATCATCTGAAGAGCTAAGGGGAAGAGAATTCTGGAATTGTGAATTCTTTTGGATATATTGTTAAGGATTTCCAGGGCTATAAATCTTGTGCATTATTGAATATAGCTTATGCCTTTATTCTTAACCTCAAGCCATTTTTAACCAGATGATCTTTAATACTTCGGCAGGGTTAAACCAAATCCTCTCCAAGTTACATGTGTCAGTTCACTGAAAACACATATATGTTAAATAGGTTTCTTTTGTTCTCTTAAAGATACATGACCTCCATAGACTCTTGTCTTCAAGGAGAGCTTGAAAAACAGGGTTTTGGGGGAGGGGAAGTAGAGGGAGGAAAGGGGCGGGCAGTAAGGAAGTGGGCAGGCATGGGACTGCTAAGTAGATGAGTCAGTACTTGTGAAAAACGGCACAGTTTTGTGTCCTTGGGCAAGTTCCTGCATTTCTGAACCTTAGTTTCTTGTAAAAGAGGGTAATGGAGCTACATATGCACCATGCCACGGTCAGTTTTAATAGTTAATAGTTAAGTCAGTGAAACCGTTGCACAGTCATTAAGTCAACGTAAGCATCGGTACTGTTTTTGCAACTTCCTGTGAATCTAGAATTATCTGGAAATAGAAAGCTTACATTGAAAACATGACCACCGAGCTTCTATATGAATGTTCATAGGAGCATTAGTCATAGTAGCCCCAAAGTGGAAACACCCAAATGTCTAACTGCCGAATGAATAAATTAAAGGTATATCCGTATAAAGGAAATTATTTGGCCATTAAAAGGAATGGGGTACTGATTCATGCCACAACATGGACGAACTTTGAAAACACCACGCTCAGCAAAAGAAGCCAGTCATGAAATAGCAAGTACAAGTATAGTTACATACGATACAACGCACGTACCACATGCAATTACTGCATGATTCCAGTTACAGGGAGTGGCCAGAATAGACAGCGCTATGGAGACAGAAAGTAGATTTGTGGCGGTCAGGGGTAGGGGAGGGGAAATGGAGAGCAAGTGCTACTGGCTGTGGGTCTGAATTGGGTGGTGGTGATTGTTGCACAGCTTTGTGAATATGCTAAAAGCTAGTGAATTTTAGGTAAAAGGATGAATTTTACGACACGTGAATGATATTCCCATTAAAAAAATAAAATGTTTTTGAAAAGAACTGGGGGTGGCAGTGACCTCTCGTTTCCTCTCTAGCCTCTGTGGCACTGTGTTCGGAAGGGACTGTGAAGCCGTGCCTAGAACCCATGGTTTCTCTTTGTCATCTTTTCTGTATGCTGCTGCTGCTGCGTTCTTGGGACCCTGGTTGCTCCCTTTATTCCCCAAAGCACAGCTCACATGAGGGGGCCATGGTTTACACACTTCACTAACGATTGAGGATATTTAAGGAAGTCGTATCACAGAAAAGCAATACTTAAAATGTGCGTGTGTTACAAGGCCCTGACCCTTTCTGGCTGGCTGTGCATGTATCCCTTTAGCACCAGTCTGCCCCCCAGCCCCGGGGCATGCTGCCTTCTCCTTAGTGGGAACACATTCTCCCTCAGCCAGAGCGGCAGAAACCCTGAATCACAAAATCTCAGCTCCCACTTAAATGCGTGAACCAGGGGCCCCTGGGTGGCTCCGTCAGTTGAGCGTCCAACTTCGGCCCAGGTCATGAACTCAACGGTGTGTGAGTTCGAGCCCCGCGTCAGGCTCTGTGCTGACAGCTCGGAGCCTGGAGCCTGTTTCAGATTCTGTGTCT